GCTCTGAGGTATTTGAAACTGTCGACTTCTTCAAGTTTATAGTCACTAATCTCGAGAGGTGCCTTCTCTTCGGTAGGGATGCAGCATGAAAACACTTTGGCTTCCAGCGTTCATTTACCAACCGACCGAAGGTGACCACCATCGCAATTGAGATTCTACTGCAATGGTTACTATAGTTCTCTTTGCAGAGCCGGCGAAAAATACGCCGTCCTCTATACCATGAGGGTTGTGGTGACCAGACAAAATCCCTTAAATAAGAACATAGGAAATAGGATACAGTGCAACCGGAGTCCAGTCACCAGCTCTATGACTTACGCCAAATGACCAAGCTGATATTATAATATAACAATGCTTTGAAACTGTCAATGAATTTGCTTGATGTGGTTGCTCATCCACTTCGCTCTGAACCAATGGCTTCGACCTCTTCCTGTATTATGCGCTGAAGTTTCCGACATGTGTCTTGTCATACATTGGCATAACAGCAGTCTTTATTCCCCTTCCTAGCACGCTACCTCACGTGCAAAGAAATGGAAATCCATAAGTTGAACTTAGAGCTGTCTCCATAATAGATGTGGATTGCATGTAAACCTCTAGTTTTTGACTCTTATTGCCTTATCCCGCGGTATCAGTGAATGGAGCCATTTTTGCTGAAAATTATGGACCTTTACCTTCAAAATAGAACGCATTCCTCTTCCATAAATAACAATATTTTAGAGGTTATCTTCGCAGCCCTGACACGCTTAGTTTCACTCGAGTCGATCATTCTCGGACAGTTCGTTTAGGGCACACTTGGTTCCCCTTTCTTTGGTTTCTACCGGTCGCGCGTTTGCTATTCTCAAAAAAGCACGTTTATAGGCCAAGGTTGAAAAGTTCAGAGAAAAAGGCCCGTTCTATTTTCTTATCGCTATGCAACTACCTGAGAGGGCTCTACTGTATGCTCTAAAGCACAACAGGACATATATGTTCCTTAACTACATTGATGAGATCCCCGATTACCGACAAGTACGAGGAAGGCAGGAATAGCCGTTTCTAACTTAGTAGCCCTCTTCAGCCAGCCATACACAACCCCTGGATTTGTGAATATTTGCGTGTATTGGCTGACTTATTAGTGGCCGATTTTCTAGGTCTCGATGATATGTTGCGTTGTCTTGCTTCCGGCGTTTCCAGATCTTTTCTCCAGGAATCATCAAAAACTCATGTCTACTAAAGTGTACAAAGGGTGACTTTCTACCTTCACTGACCTGAAATGTGTGCATCAGAATTTGATAATTCAGCGATCGACAACTTAACTTGTAACCTTTGCCACGACTGCGCAAACTCCTTTTAAGAACTGGTGCGCTAGATTGTGGTCGCAATAACCCCGATAAGCCGTGATCACATCTGCTTCTTTTCTCGGAACTTGACCTGGTGCCTTTTTATTTTCAACTCCGCTTGTACGCATTCTTTGTAAACTGCCGCTTGCCAGATGTTTTCTTTAACTTGGCAGCGTTTGTGTTTTGTAAATATTGAAACATTTCTATATAAGTCTGTCCTTTTAGGATTCTTAACTTACAGTTCATGTTCTTCTTCAGTACCTGCAACATTCTAATTCCTAATTCCATGGTAAACTGAAATGCAGAAGTCGTCATGGACAGGGAAACGGTAGTTAGTTAATAGTGTCTCAACCCGTCTTCGTATGTTTTTTCTTTCAGTGCTAGATTGCTGGGCACATTCTTCTCGAGATTCTTCCTCATCCACCCCTGACTAATCAAATCCGACCCTTTTTGTTTCAGATCCTAAGCGAACCCTGGCGACTGTCGACCAGCCAGACTCCCATCCGCCAGTGCAGTTCTTGCTTCTACCCGTCAGACTACCTGGGCATCACAGCCACACCCGGGGGCGGTTTTGGGCCAGTTACCGCCGACGGCTACGGCGTGTCCTACATCTTCGCCGGAGAAGACCACATTTTTCTCCACATATCCTCCTACAGAACCTCAAAAGAGACGGTAGGCTCCAGTTCATGGAAGAATGTGGTGTATTCCTTCCCACGCCCACTATTCTTGAAAGTCATGAATGAGTAGGGAGACTTGAGCCTTCTACGGCATTTGAAAATGCTAGCGAAACAAGCCTGAACATTTTGGATATGAACACATATACTACTACGAATAGAAGCAAATATGCGTGCCCCAGGTTCTTTTTGTAAAGAAGAGGAAGACGCGATCTCTGGAACAATAGTTGTATTCTGAGCTTTCGGCTTTGAGAACAGCAAACGTCAGCTACGCATAAATGGGGTTGGTAAGAGAGGGGGGGAGGGTATTGATTTGTCCCTGTCCATGCTACGTTCATTCTCACGCTATCTTATCGTGTCTCCGACGCGCGCCCCTGGAGTAACGGC